GAAAACATTAAGCTGTCCCAGGTGGGAACAAGTCCGAGCATTCTTGAAGAAGTTGCCGTTCATTCTGTGGAGAAATTTATCGACAGTCTCGATCTACAGGTCTCTATGGAGCGTGTCATTGGAGACAAAGCGATGTGCACGAGTAATCAGACGCAAGAACTTATTTTGAGTTATCTGCAATTTACGTAGGTCGATTGTGCGAACCGCAGCCCATGCAGGCAAAAAGGGGCCTAATAATTGGCGATATAAATATGCTGCTTCCTCCTGAGGCCTAACTTGAAGTCTGCAGCAAACAGGGTCGTGAGGCTCTGGATAGCTCTGAGCACTTTTCCCCTTACATAGCTATAGCCCTCCGCCTTCGTCTGGTCCTTTCCAGGCTATGGTATGATGATCATTTTAGCCTTTTTCCACTGTCTGGAAAAGTAGCTGTTGTAAAAACATGCATTTAGTATCCTGGTAAGCCTAGTGATGATGCCGAAAGAGAAAATTTAGCTGATGCTCCGGTCTTATATAGTCCTTCCCCCGGCCGCCAAGGAATTTCAAGTTTCTTCCATTTCTCGAATTTTATGTCGCCAAATTTGGCGACTTTTATCGATTTCTCGACAAATCTGGCGATAAAATTAGTAGCCAAAACCATCGCCAGCTTAGCGATATCTCGCCAGTTTAGCGAAATAGCCATTTACCTCAATGTTAGGTAGACTTGCTCCTTCAACCTTGTTTTTCCGATGGAAAAATTTATCTGGTTCTGTGCTATCAGGTCTAAAAACAAATTTCTATGCTACTTGCTGTTGTATTACTGTAGATAAATTCACAATTAAATTAAGAATATAAAATTGCAAAGAGAATGGCATATACTGATGCAGAAGGGATTCAATCAGTTCTAATTCTAAGCATGACTATGACATAATATTTGTAGATTGATCAAATGCAACTAAATAATTTTATCTTCCAGACTACGAAATACAGTGTAATGGCCATTCATAATAGTCAACCGAATTTTGTGAGGCTGTAAGAGGTTTCTTTTCTAATTAATCTCTGAACACAAAAAACATCAAGTTAAAATGATCGAGTTCTTGTTATGTAAATATTCAGGAATGTAACCGTATCTTTCTAAGCCACCTACAAAAGGTAAGCTGCTATGTATAAGCAGGGCAAAGTATCATTCAAATTATGACCCTAGACAAGTCGCAGCATGCATTTGACCACTGAATAAATGTGTACTAAAGGAATGTTCTGCGAGAAATCTAGTTGCAACAGATTCTTGCAATCCATCAGAAATAAGCAGCCATGTTAAATCAATTTGAAAAAAAGGCCTTATATGAAATGCTGCGTGTGCAAAAGATATGTACTTCATATGTTAACATCATAAATGAAGAAAAACCGAGTTGTTTGTTTTTGAGAAGTCTTTCTCTGATAAACACTGATAAGATCATATTTATTCATAGCCAGTGACAGAATGTAAGTCATCCATACAAAATTATAGGCATATCATCGTATAACCAGTGGTTTTCAACCTTTATTGCCCCATGCACCCCTTTCACCATTACCAGATCATCTCTCTTACTTTTCTAAAACTCGAAAAATACATGCACATTTATTTAGATTTAGATAATTTTCAAGGGCACAACAGGAAATAGCTGGAGTCAAGGTCAATCACATTCTCCTCTGTTTGACAATCCCTGGTATAGACAATGGAATCTTCTGGTGACCCTGACAGGAAGAAAATGAACTTGATGAAAAAGTGCTATAATCTTTTCGCCCAAGTCCTAAAAAATTCAGAATACTGAATTTTGTTTAGAAAATTTTGATGAGCATTTTCTGAGATGAAGAACTGTTTCTTGTTGATTATTTGTCATGTAACAATGGATCCAAGGCATAAAGAAGAAACACCTAGCACATTCAGCAGCTGAGTGTTACTTTTGTAGAACAACACAATAACAGACGAAGGTCAGATTTCCTAAACTGCTACGCAGTAATGTAGATTTCAGTTCTCATATCCACGAACTAATGTAAACAAATTTAAATGGAACATATAAATAAGAGAAATCATTATGATTCCATTGAACAAAACAACAAAAAGTAGTGGTCAGTCTACTCTTGGCTTTGTTACAAAAGATTTATTTATGCAGCATGCTATAAACACACAATTAATGAATAACACCGACAGATAATAAGGGCAAACTATCGGAATTTATTCTTGTACCATCTTGTCTGATTACTTAATGCCATTATAAACTGACTTTTCCTTGACCTTTGATCGTAAGAATATTCTCATTCGCGACCATGAGCGCAAACACGCATGCGCCATTCGGACCGAAAGGGTAGAAGGATGGGGACTTTTTTTCCCTCCAGCATATCTCTTTCCGGAGAAGAGAAGACCTTTCATGTCACCTTTTAACGTCGCAGCAAGTCATAACGCCCCTTTCGAACAAGTCTAAGTTTTTTTACAGAATGCCAGCCAGACTTGTGTTTGAGACAGTCGAACTATATTGATACATATATCACTAAGTGCATGAAACGGCACAATTGGCCAAAGACAAAAAATATCGATAGTTCGACCTGGATTCTAATCCAGGTGAGTAGGCTTGTTGAATGGTTAGCTTTCCCTGTGTGTAATATGAATACAAGCCAGTTTTCCTCAGAAAGTCCTCTGCAAAGGCAGCCATCCCCTTTGGCAAATAGCCTTGGGTGCTTTCCAATATTCAAAATAATCTGGCTTGAACCTAGGAAATTGTTCATAGCATTGAGTAAAATTCATAAGTGTTTCTTCATATGCACCGTAAAGAAAGCTATTCAGTTGGCTACAGAGTGGTTCCGTTTGATGTTGTTTGAAAGAAATAATAGTCGAATATAATAATAAAAATAATAATTAATCAGATAATAATCAATAAAAAACGAATATGAATCTTTCAAAGAAAAATAAAATTAGTCTAACTCGCTTGTATTCAGAAGCTTAAAAATAGCAATTTAACAAATTTCAGGAGCTTTATTGCTAATAATCATATATAACAATTGCATATTAATGCTTGAGAATTTGTCAATGAAAGTGCAGGAACGTTGAAAGCAATGTGTATAAATTTGCATAGTTACATATATTAAATATCTTAATTTTTCATGACTTTTATTATACACGTACAAAAGACAATTGTATTTACACAATTTTGAGCAGTCAGCAGTATTTTACGAGTTCTACAAACTCAAACATAGCCGGAATAACCTCAGCATCAGACTCAACATAATTTTATAAATGAAAACTGTTGTCAATGAATAAAATGGTATTTTTAGCAATTAAGTGACAAAGTTTAAGTTTATTTAATTATTGAATTAAGTTATAATGTGTGAAGTATATGGCAGATTTCATTCAAGGATAACTCAATAAATAGAGATATTAACGCCTGGGTTTGTTTGACAAAGAATTTCATGCTGCACATTTATAGGTTTCTATTAATTTTCTTTTTCACTATAAGAAGTATCGAAATAGATTTGTCTATGTTTATTGATCATGTTTTTTAGACAGGCTTGAGTGCATGAATATGGTTCTGTCAGAAATTCAACTAATTTAAAAGAAGTTCATTTCTATTCCGACATCTGATTATTATAAAACTAATTTGTAAAATTAAAATTATTTCTAGTGATCAAAAGAGATTTAAAGAACATGCTACTTATGTACTACACAGTACTCTAAGATTAACTGCGTTCTGAATACGATTATGGAAAGGCTATGGCATAACATACATAGACAAGAGAAAGATATGCTATGCAGATAGCACTATCTTTTGGATACCTAGGATACTGTAATAAGGAAAATAACACAAGTGGTCCAGGTAGGTAGTATACTGTGCTGCTATGGTGTTGTGGCTGAAGGAAAGAGTTCCACAGACATCTTGCAGTGCTCCACGGTGAAGATAGATTTCCTGACTTGAACAAACTACTTCACTAGACATACATAAACAGGATATTGGTTCCCACTAATAGCCTTGACTGATTGCTAAACATTACTATAGTAGCTAGTCACAATTTGAATCGTTGAGTTTGTTAATTGAAAATTTGTTAGTTTTACAAAATATGAAATAGATAATAAAACAAATTCAAATTTGGGTTTCCAGGTGCCTATATTTGGGTGGAAACATACATTATTCAAAATTTGATGGCTCTAGGTACCATTGTTTAATCAGAATGCGAGAAACATACATACATTTATGCAGATTCTTCATTATTTAATTTCTTTGTAGCAATTTGAAAAGTGTACCAATATTTCAAAGAAAAATGCCAAAATGAAATTAATAGTCCTGGGCAAATTGCCCCATTTGGACTAAAAGTTATAAGATAAAAAGAAACTGCAATCTGATGTTGTTATGCAGATTTCAGTTTGACAACTAAAACTATTTTAAGCTAGGCAATTAAGAAGGCATACTTAGTTTAAGGATTAATCTGCTAGGAATTGCAATGTAGAACATAAAATCTAATACAATTACAATGCAGGGAAAAAAAGAAAAAAACATAGCTATACCACAAGACTTGCAACAAATATTTCCTTCAAATGACAATAATTCCTACCTTGCAAAGATAATAAAATCCATGAAATGAAAACAAAAATCTGAGAGGTTTCAGATTTCAAATTACGTCCAGGATGGCTTTTTTTTTTTTTTTTTTTTTTTAACATTTTGTGTGTTACCTTTATTTATTAAATATCATATTCTTTCTTCACACTCAAACCATAAAATTCAGTTCAAGAGCAATATCTTTAGAATTTCCAATACAGTCTCACGCACTGGAGATAAAAATGTTTTTTCTGTACGTTTCCACTGCTCGCTTTGAAATCCTTAAGTTTTTGTTAATCAAAAATCCGTTAAAGTTTTACAAAATATGAAATCAATAATAAAACAAATTCAAAATTTCAAATTTGGGCTTACAGATGCCCATATTTGCAGTAGGGTTATGTCATTTAAAATTTGATGGCTTTAGGTACTGTTGTTTTATCACAATGCAAGAAACATACATACATTTATGCAGATTCTTCATTATTTAATTTCTTAAAATATAATACAGGGCAATAATATTTGGTGGCAACAGTCTGAAAAGTAAAATGGACGTTCAGAGCGATTTGACACAACATCTCAAAACAAAAACAATAGTCCCTCAGGGACAAAGCCCCTTTGGACTAAAAAGGTTTCCTTTAAGCTACCTACAAACTTTAATGCAAAAATGCAATGCCATTAGGGAGTTGAAAACACTTAAATATGCATATTGCTCAGATTTTCTTATATTTATGCAGAATTTGGACAAAATTAATGAGTCTGTCTGACTTTGTTGTGTCCTCAGATAAAAATACAATAATTCATTAGAAACAACATGTTTAAATTTTATCATCCCTAACATGTAATGGTGGTTAAAAACTAAATCCACCAATCAACATGAAAACTGCAACAAAAAATTTAATAATTCCTTATTAAATATTTTATACAGAGTATTTTTTACTTATAACAATGGATACTAAAACAAAGTGAAAAAATTATTTAACTGTACATTGAACTGTGGGTAACAAAGTACAAATAATAAATATGAGCACAATATAATTCTGAACCTGCTCAAAAGCTAACCTTCAACAATGCTTTAAAAAATATTAAAAAAATAAATATGTCCATTAAAATTAGACTTCCCCTTTATCTATAAAAGCAATGTAATAACAAAACAACCAAAATATTTAAGAGAACTTAGATCTATTTTTATCTAATAAATGCTGTTTCTAATTTAGGAGTTACTTTTGATACAAAAATTATATCTACAGTGCAAAGCCCAAGATCCGGACTTGCGTGATTCTGGATTTTTCCAGATATTAGATCATCACTTCAAATCTAGTAAGCATAATGAAGCCTATATGACAATTAGGGAGCCAAATTTATAAAAAAGCTCATTATTTATATTTTTCCTCCAAACATTTCTTTCAATGCAGTCGTTAAAGTGATTTGTTTTTAGTGGTAATAAAAGTATAATAATAAATTTTTAATGCTTTGTTTTTACTGTTAGTGCGTGTGTTTCCCTAATTCAAGTCCTGTAATCGCCTAGTTAAGAATTCCTATTAAAATGCCATTTGAAATTTTTCTGTTCTCAAATTCTCTGCCAACTTCTTCACTATCGATAGCAATATTTTCTGGATTTAAAACCATACTATAGATTTCCCTCATTCATTAGTTGACTGATGATTTGGGTATTGCCATTGCAATGAAAAAATTCTGCTATATATTCTTTATTTATAAACACTTTTTCACAAATTCCATTAACCAGAAAATTTCTTTCTTTCTTTCTTTTTTTTTTTTTAAATATGCTAAAACCTTAAACATTTAGCAAGTGTTTAGAAACGTTTAGCAAGCGTCCACTATATACTATTGGCAATGTATCATGAAATTCTTAACTAACGACATGTTGTTCCATTCAATTTTGCCTTGCTTCTATTACAACCTGAAAAAGTTAAGCCAGAATTATGTTAGTTTATTTATTTATTACACTTATGCCTACTTCTCACACATCCTTAAGGCTTATCCGAGTCCTGAATAAATAAATGGCATATTTACTTAAGGCTTACTGCCACATTGTGCAGCCCAGTTCAATCTCTTCTCACTCTATATTCTGCTTCCAAGCACCTAGCTAAATAAATAAAAAAAAAAAAGTGTCCAAGTTTCTTCCCTAAATTCTAAAGACTGCTATTATTCCTTAATATTGTTGCTTGCTGTTTCTCTAAATTCTAAAATGTTTGCCTCCCTTAAATTAAAAAATTATTTAGATATTGCTGCACGAGTAATTTCTCAAGTTACCATGTGATGTTCGCCACGCCATGATGAAAGCAAAAAATAATAAATAATGATTTGCCAGTTGGCATCAGGAATGTAAATGTTCAATAGATGTTATAATAAATTTTTTTTTTTTTTTAATTCAAGAGGTATTTTATTTAGTACTAGAGCGAAATTAAATACCAGTCCTCTCCACATGTTTTATTATAAAGAATATCAAATGTGCACGCGTAAAGTATGCCCCCCCCCAAAAAAAAGGATGCTTGCTGGAGACCCAGATTTTAGATCATTCCAGATATCGGACATCCAGATTTCAGACTTTGTACTGTAATAATAAAAACTACCTAAAATAGAAACATGAGAATTCCATTGAACTAGAAAGCATTAATAATGATAATTAAAAGAAATTATCAAACATATTTCCCTGAAATAAAATGTGAGCAACCACATTATAAATTTCAAAAAGCCGTGGCTATAAAAAATATAAAATGTTACACTTTAATTTGGTATCTCTTTATTTATCAAATTACAAACAAATTCCATATTATTTTGAAAACATAATTTATTGTAGGTTATATGTACTTTAACTTTTATTTTTATTTATTTATTTTTTTTTTTTTAATGAATGTTTTTCAGGAAAACTGTAACAGAATGGAATGAGTTATCTTCAAAACACTAAGATTACTTTCATTATAAAAAATAAACATGGTTTATTACAAAAAGTAAACCATGTGATTTAAATAGCAATTTATAAATTTCCTCAGAAAATGTTTACAAAATAAAACTGTCAAAAGAAAATAGCTAAGACTACACAAAATTAATTCAATAACTGAAAAAGAAGCAATCCTTATTTATAAAGATATCTGATAATTTCGGAGATACCTTTAAACATACGAAAGCAAGTCTTCCTCATATTTCAGCTTTCAAATATTTATATTGAGTCATATATTCAAAACACAATTTTTTACAGATAAAAAAGTGCACAACTTTCAATTTTATATCACACATATTCAATATGCATATATATTACATTTTGTTTTCTATATTTAGTAATATATGTCCAACTAAGCAGGTAATAACTCCTTCATATTTTCTTGCAGACTATTCTTAGCTATGAGTTTTGGTTCAAGATTGCCTGCAACTGAATGCATTTCCTCTGCATTTTCTTCTACTCGTATATTTGGATTTAAACGAGGATCTAAAAGTGGGTCTGAATCTGCATTTGCTCGACCTAATTTTAAGAACAATATGCATAAAGTACACAATGCAATTAGGCAGAGAAGAAGCACAATAACCCATCGCTTATAAAACACATTTGTGTCCCTTCTCCGATGCTTGCCATGAGTTGTTCTGGACCTGAAAAGAAAAATATTATTTCAGAACATAATTAGAAACAATTACTAGAATATACAATTCTACTTTTTAACATTTTCACTTTATTGGAAATAATACATTAAAAATGTGTCGCCTCAATATATTTTGTACTTCATAAAGAGTGCTGAATAAAAATCAGGTTTCAAATTTTAAAGTGGAAATATATAAAAGTAATTTTAATCAGTAATTCAGGATCCTTTTAATTAATAATATTATATATGAATTACAAGAAATATAATATAAAAAACAAATTCAGGTGGTTTCTTTTGTGTCAATAAATTTATATGAATGTGAAAAAAAGGATAAATTTAAACTTGCTCAAATTATCTGTTTAAAAAACTTTTTAAATTCATTAGATGGAAAACACTTAACTATGGAAAGTGTAATTAATAAAATTACAACCGCAGATATTATTGGTAAGCCATTTATTTGATATCAGTAGAAGTTGCTGATTAAGCAAAACAAAAGAGTAGCACTAAACTACATGAATAAGTTTCCTTTTTAATGTATAAATTGAGATAAATGACAAATAGCTATGATACACAATGCAATTAGTACTTTTTTTAATCTGAAGCTTGAGATACAAGATGAACATAATTTACAGAAGGAAAAGTAACAACATTATCTTATACATGAGCCAAAATAGTAACTGTAGACAATTATATATAATACCTAAACCATCTTCCAAACCATTCTAAAGCTGAACGCCTTTTATATTTATCTTCATCGTGGTCCACCATTGATGGCCTGAAGTGTCCATGTTCTGTTGCATCATATAGTTTTCGTGGTGTAGTATATGCAGCTATACAAAAGGGAAAATTATTTAAGTACCTCAAAAACTGTTTTAAAAAAATAATACTATTGAGAAGACAAAGATTTTTAAAAAATTCCTATAATCCGTAGGAAATTTGATTTATATTATTATGCAATTAATAAACAACCTCCACGAGCTTCAATGCACTATTCCTCAAAAATACAATTTATTACTGCAGGAACTCCTGGACAATCTAATTAACAGCATGAAAAATTGCTGCAAAGCTTGCATCTTGGTCAGGAGTGAGCATACAACTTATTAATCTAAGTACCTGCAAAACATTGTAACACCAATTTTCTCCACCTCACTTACATGCTACATCTCCTGTGTTGTAATTTTATTTATTTATTTTTAAATAACCAAATGTGCATTTTGAGGATATGGTAAAATAAACATCTTATGAAAGTTCCATGCTCTTAGCTGCAAAATCATTCAGATTTCATGAGTTTTTATAGTTGTTCCTTATATGTTTCCCATGCCGGCATAGTAAGTAGTTATCATCGTTAAAGAAGTGTGACCCCCTTCAAAAATGTTAATATAAACCATCTTACACAGTTAAATTAACTAACAAAATTTTAGACAAATTAATATACATAACACATTTCTGCGAAGTTATCTGAAATAAAATACATATTTTTGTGAAAATGTTCATGTAGTATAGGCCAAATTTCACTGTATACAAAGGTCATTCGGAAAACTTCCATAATCCTTCAAAATTAGACACTGAAGCAATTCTTTAGCACTTCCATAATAGCAGGGCTAAGTTCAGTCACTTCAGCCAAGTCATATTAATGTTAAGATGCTTATGAAATAATGAAACTTTCACATTTAACGTTTTTGAACATTTTATAGCACCATGAAACATATCATTTCATCTGCTTGAGAAAACAGAACATATTTTTTTCTAACTTGAAAGTGATTATACAGAATGGCAAGAATTGTCAACAAAGAAATACATAAACATTCCTTTATTTGACAGCAGGTAATGCCTGTAAGCCTTCAGCATCTTTCTAACAGCAGCTGCAAGTCTGGACATCCTAATCTTGAAGTATGTCTCATTCTCCAAACAGTGATTAATTATAAAACTGCATGCAAAGCTGTAGCACAAAATTATTCTGTACCCAATTTTATCAATCAGAATGGCATTACAAGCACATTTCACTGCTAGAGCTCACAAGGAACACAAGCTATAGCCAGTACTACTAAAATGCAGGCTAGAAAATATCTTCCCATAACACGAGTTTAAGCACTTTCTAACAGCTGCATAATTAGATTTTAGCAGCTTTAATATCTATAAATTACCCACTACTGATATTTTCAGCTGAAAGTAGCATATAATGTAAAGTTTCAGAAAAATGAAGCATTATGTTATAACAAAACTAATAATTTTATTAATTATAAAACACAAATTTCTTTTTAAATCAGCAATACGTACTTCAATGCACTTTATTCAACTTATTCTAATAATCTCGCATTTAAAGAAAAGAAAAATTAAATTACTTGTATAAGAAGCTCCATATGTTTCAGGCCTCGTACTATTCATTTCTAAATGACCTGAAGCAGAATTAATATTAATAGGAGCAGGTTTACTAATTTTTTCAAAAGGCAGGGAGCTAGGAGATCTTAAAGGAGATGGCTGAATATTATTTGCTTGATTATCTTTCACTAAACTGCTTTCAATCTGTAATGAAATAAATGAGAGAAAAAATTAGTAAAACTTATACATAGAATATAAGTCATAAATAATAAAGTAAAAAATATTTATGCTATAGTTGCCCCTCTATTTAACACAGCTATGATTTTTTTAAAAATGCAGTTCAGCAGTTTTTTAGTTTCAAAAATGAGTAAGTGAACAAAATTATCAGTTTCATCCAAAGTATGAAGAGAAGACACTTAAATTACTCAAAAAAATCTTAAGCATTATATTTTAAATTCATTCCAAGAAACACAAAGGATATCCAAAGTATGAAGAAGAGACACTTAAATTCCTCAAAAAAATCTTAAGCATTATATTTTTAATTCATTCCAAGGAACACAAAGGATATATAGAAGAAATAAGATCAAATGGAACTTGTACTTCTACAACAATTTAAAGAAGTATATGCTGCCAAGTGTATCTGTCATCTGAGAATTGCAAAGATAGAAAGCACACACTTTCCAGACATAAAACACCTATTTTAGTGCACACTTTCAAAAAAGAAAAAAATGTCCTGCACCCATTAAACAGACTGGAAAATATAAAGAAAAAGAAAATTACTAGATATTCATATTAGGTGATTTTCCGTTATGCACCTGTCCCACATTTTGGCAGGTTTTTTAACTATGAACAATTCCTAGTGAATGCGTGCATTACACATTCACTAGAAAAAATTATTTACACTACAAAAAATTATTTACAATAAAAAAACACACACACAATCATGCAACTATTCTTGGGTCTCAGAGTATGTTTGATTTCTCTTTCATATGTGCCAAAATGCGTGGCAAGTGCGTAACAAAAAATACCTCATATCATAAAGTGGCAATGGCTTCTTGATTTACCTAAATTTAATTAAAGACTATAACCCTAAAGATATTAACTGCAATTAAACTGATTTATTTTTTTTTCTCTACAGATGTAAATAAGGTTTTCAATTAAAATTTCAAGATTCAAATATTTATTAAAATAAAAAAGATATATAAACAGATATTTCCCTTATTCAGCATGCTATCGTTTTGTTATTATGAATTTCAAAACTTAAAACTTAACTTAAATTACTTTCATTTTATTTCAATGTAACACAATCTCACTTGTCTATGCATTACTTTATGGTTGGTCTTTTGCCCTGAACTATGAGCAAAATGTTATTTACTTAAATGTAACTCAGTCTCACTTGTTTATGCATTACTTATGGTCATCTCTCGTACTGAAGTATGAGTAAAAGGTTATTTTAATTACTCATAAGACTACTTTTTTGTTAACTAAGAATACTTTAATTAAAATTATGATATGAGCGAAGTGGGGATATAAACATATAAATTAATTTTTTTAACTTTATATGACATGCTAATTCAAATGGTACTTTTTTATTCACTTCAAAGAATCCCCTCTTCTAAAATGTTTTAACAATATTTACAGCATAGGTCTTCACTATGAACATTGTTACAATAAATAACGGAATGACTACAGTTAATAGATTAAAAAGTACATTCTCTTTTTTTTTCTTGAAATCATACTTTTTCAAGTTAAAATTATAGCTAGCCTGGAAAAAAAAAAAAAAAAAAAAAAATCAGATATCACATTCTTAGCGTTTCCGCTACTTAAAATTCAATTCAACAGCAAAATCACAAAATATTTAAAAACAGCATATCTTTAGAATTCCCAATAGATATTCTTGTATGCTGAAGATAAAAATATTTTGTTCCATACAGTGTTGCCACTGTTAGCTTTGAAATAGTTGAATTTGTTAATAAAAATTCATTAAAATTTTACAAAATATGAAATATAAAATTCAAAATTTGGGCTTCCAGATGCACATGTTCAATGGAGGACTACATTATTGAAAACTGGATGGCTCTAGGCACTGTTGTTTTTTCACAATGCGAAGAACATACATATATACCTGCAGATTCTTTGTTATTTAATTTCTTTAACTATTGTATAACACAAGGCAATAATATTTGGTGCAGAAATTTGAAAAGTAATACGACGCATTTAAGTGTTTCAACGAAAAACGCTCTTTTGAAACTAACATTCCTTTTGAGCTGAAAAAGAGTGTGGATACTTACAGCAGGATAGCCTAATCCTATTCTTGCCCAATTTACACCAAGTAAAGCATTTTTCAATGCTTCACTTACTGGAGAGACTACGTTTGGTTGAGGAAAGATGCAAACATGACATATTGGGCAAGTATATCCCTCGGGAGGTGTCTGTGGAGGTAGACTATGAGCATATTTATTCAAACATTCCCAGTGGAAAACATCTATTTAAAAAAATTTTTGCATTAATAGCAAAATTTTAAATTCAAGTTGTATGATTATCTATACTAAAAAAATTCAGAAGAAAAGCATGTATACTATATTAGTTTTTAAAATAGATACAGTATGAACAATATTCTCAATAAATCTAACATTTTTTCAGTATATGATAAAGAAATGCTTATTAAATTAATGAAAATAACTTATAATACTTTTAAGAAAAAATGCCTACACAGATTGTACAACAAAATATTTTATACTAACAAAAATCAGCATTATATTTACAAAGTTTTCACAGGACTAGTTTCGATGGTTTTACCGAACCACCATCTTCAGCTGCAAAACCGCAAAATGACCGCATTTTGCGTCATTGACAAAATGACCGCATTTGACTTCAGCTGCAAAACCGCATTTTGCGGTTTTGCAGCTGAAGATGGTGGTTTGGTAAAACCATCGAAACTAGTCCTGTGAAAACTTTGTAAATATAACGCTGATTTTTGTTGTTTGATTTCTGGATTAGTATTTATCCGGCGTGTTATTGTGTCTTAAAATATTTTATGTTCGATGAACCATTTTTTTTTTTAAGTAAGATATCATTATTCTTTTAATGATAAAATTAACAGTTGATCACAAACAAGCATTCATGAGAACAATTTCTGATGTTTTGATAAATTCCTTTTATTAAACGAATCACCTTTGGTTACAGTATAACCATGGGACAAAACTTACCTTAAATAACGTAATTCTACAATTATGAGATTACATAAAAAACTTTTTTTTTTTTTCATTTTTTTAGATGCACAACAGTGCAAAGAAAGAAAATAAAAAAGCAAATGAACCTATTTAATTACTGAATATTTATTTAAGACATCTCTGAATCTTTACAATTATAGAAGTCTGTGATTTAGAACTAAGTATGCAAATCTGTGATTTAGAACCATTATGTGATAAAATTTCATTATCTTTGAGGTAAAACAGGTCCACAAACAAGAGATTTAATGAAAAATATCCCTAATAGTATATTTTAGGGTACCCCTTGGCGAAACTTGGCTATTTTTGGCCCTTTCATTCCAAATTGTTCAGAAACTTCAAATTAATCTTACTACATTCAGCCATTTTACCATCTAAACGATGAAACAAGCAATGTATTTCCTAAACACACACACCACAAAAGCTCTTACAAAACATCCCATGATTCAAAATTTCTCAGAATAATGAAAACGATTACATCATAATAGGGTTTCCATAACATTCGACTACTCAGTTACCATGAATGAAACAACAACTTGGCAATAAACGAAACAAGAGCTTGGCGATAAATGAAACAACTTCGCTATAATACAGGGGTCAACTACACTAAAGTCAACTCTAACCAAAATATCTATAAAAACATTTTTCATTAAATCTCTCGGCTCTACTGTAGAATTGGGTGACCCTTCGATTAGCAATAAGTTTTCTTTTTCTTTTCTTTTCTTTTTCTTTTTTTTTAATTTCGGCAATAAAACCTCATTTCTGGTTACCATGATAGTTTTAACTTTGTTTTAGCTTCCTGATTTTTTTAAAAAATGAAAATAGATTTATGCGTACATAGACAAATTTAAGGCAGTGTGCAATGCCTAGTTTGTGCAATTCTGCAATATTTTTTAAAGTGAAAACAAATCGATGTGTACATGGACACAGAGTTTGTGCAATTCTTTGACTTTTTATTTGGTTTTGTGTAGTGGCCATCTTGAAATTGTGCCTTCCTGGCACCGATCTTGAACTAAAAAAAAAAAAAAAAAAAAAAAAAAAAAAAGGCAAAAAACAAGGGGCACCCAATTGTAAACTTTTACCAATCTCTTCTTTCATTCTGTTTATGTCAGAAGATAATTTTAAGGCCATTTAAGTCATATCATGAAATAAAGCATACTCATAAGCAAAATCTGCTTGTGCCTAATCTTAAAGAGCTTGAAAGTGTTATGAAGTGTAATGCTAAAAATTATCTGTGCAATCCGGGAAAACTTACTCTGATATTATTATGACAATACTGGTATTTTAGATGACAAACGTTGTAACCTGCATAATTCAAGGCGATGACTTCAACTGACAGGAAGAAAAAAAAAATGCAGCTGAATTATCCAGTAACAAATTTAGTAATTCCAGAATTATAATGTAAAAAGATGAGCCAACCTAGCTGCTTATTTTTATACCAATATTACAATTGCAATTTTTCTAGTATTTCTTAATTCTGTAAAGTTTAGCACTAACAGTATTTTTTGCATTTATAACTCATTATACAATACTTTTTTCATTAATTTCTTCCTTCAGATAAAAAGCTCAAACTTAGTTTGTGAATTTCTAGATATAATGGCATTTAAAAATGCCAAAAAAATATACTCAATCTATGTTTTCGGAAAACAGCTCACTAAACATGAAACTACTTCTAAACATAAGCTGTGACTCATGAGCGAGATATGGGTTCAATGGTTTCTTTAACACCTTACTGAAGCACTTGAAGACAATCAGAAGTCACCGAGAGTAACTGATCTAGAGATTTATTTACTTCTTATTTTTATTTCTTTCTCTATGTGTTATGTGGGTATGTACATACATATGTATGTATAAAATATCAGAAAGCATACAAATGCCTAAAGGAAAAAATTAGTTTATATTTTTTATTGTTAAATATTGAGCACATATTTTTGTTGAAAAAGAGCAATATAAACAAACAAAATTGAATATGATGGATCTTTTTCCATCATAGTGCACTCTAATTAGAGTAATAATGATTTTATTACTAATACATATTCGTTATTCTAACTGATATGACATTTTGAACACTGTTATTAGTTTCAGCCAACTGCTGCCTTTTCGTACGAGTTTTAAATGGTTACAACTAGTTCCTGCCACTAGTCAATTTATAAACTAAACAGAGTTACAGATTAACTTAGCAAAAATATAATAAATAAAACAGCGTAGCCAAGTGCCTCGCATTTCAGTGACCCTTTATATCAAGAATAAATATAACCCCCCCCAAAAAAAAAACAGCATCTCTGCAGTAGCCAGGTACAAATAATGAATTGTCAAAATTAGAATATATATTGGCAGTTATTGATACCTGTGACAAATCAAAAGGTGCCAAATTAATAGCCTTACCAAAACAGAAGTAAATAATCTTAAATATGCACTAGAACTGATGAACAAGTGCTTAATATAAAACCTTTATTACTTTCGGGGAAAGTGCAGAATCATCCACTGTTTGGTGCGTTTTTCAGAATTGCACAAAATCGGCATCCATGTACACATCGACCTATTTTCACTTTAAAAAAAAAAAATCAGAAAATTGCACAAATTCGGCAAAGCCAGAGGATACTGACAAAAATCCAATTTTTATTCTTGTAAAAAGCACCAAACATAACATGCCAAATGAGTAGGCGATTCTGCACTTCAGCGAATTTAACTACAATCAACCATGGCTGATAATTTATTAGCATATTCTTTACTTCGACTAACATGCACATGGAAATTTCAAATACACATAAATTTCTAAACTAAATAATAAATTTCCAAATTTTGATTTTATGTCGGCAGTTATTCATACTGGTAACAAATTAACAACCTTACTGAATACTGAAACAGAAGTAAATAATCTTGAATGAATTATATTCACTACATCTGATGAACAAGTGCTTAATATAAAACCTTTATTAATTTAACTAGGCTTTATTTATTAAATATCACATTCTTCGCACTTAAACCATAAAATTCAGTTCAAGAGCAATATCGCAAAATAGTTTTAAATTGAGCATATCTTTAAAATTTCTGATACAGAGTCTCACGCGCTGGAGATAAAAATGTTTTTTCTGTACAACGTTGCCATTGCTCGCTTTGAAAACCTCGAGTTTGTTATAAAAAAGTTATTAAAGTTTCACAAAATATGAAATCGATAATAAAACAAATTTCAAATTTGGGCTTATGGGCTTATATATGTCCATATTCACAGTAGGATTACGTCATTCAAAATTCGATGGCTGTATGTTCCATTTTTTTACCACAACGCGAGAAATATACATACATTTATGCAGATTTTTCATTATTTAATTTCTTCAAATATAATGCAGAACTCTAACATTTGGTGGTAACAGTTTGAAAAGTGAAACGGACATTTATAGTGAACCAACACAAAAATCGCAAAATGAAAACAATAGTCCTTCAGGGACACAGTATCTTTGGAATAATTATCAATAGAGATGAAAAAATAGCACTTACGATAACATGTCAGCCTAATGCAGTCTCCTTCAGACAATTCAGTCCTGCAGATATGGCAATTAGGATCATAGTCACTGTCTTGCAGCCACTGAAGATATGACTGAACAACACACTACAACAAATCACAGTTTTTTAAGTAATAATGGTAATAAAACAAAAATTCAGCAAAAAACTATTTTTGAAGTTTTTGAAGACATTTTAGAGTACAAAGTCTCTAATCTGGACTCGTCGGGACTTCGGGGATTCCGGATTAGGGGTTTTTCCTGATTATAGATCATCAATTTAAATCTGGTAAGATGGCATGCAGAAATTACAAAATTAAAAATATGAAACCATAATTTATGAAACGAAGAGCAATTATGATCTAAAGGGTATCAAAATTTACAAAAAAAAGCTTAATATTTATTTGTTACTTTATAACCTTTCTTTCAATGCGCATGCGGAAAGCATACATTACGCATATCGAATTAGAAAATTGCAACCAGAAAAATATTTGATGCGTATTCGTGATATTATAATGACGAGGATTTGATTTAATTCATATCAAAGACGGAGTAAGCGAGATGAAATATTACATTTAGTAAGGAATTATAAGCCAAATAAAATAAAAACATCTGTCCTGAAGATGAGGATAGTGCTGACAGATCAACTTCCAGATCATAGTGCGCTGCTACCTTACCCCCCGCAGAGCAGCGTGAAATTGATAAACAGATTTTGGAATGGTTAGAGAAACAAAGAATATGCTTTTACACATTTTTTTCGCAGGAATTCCACTTTTTGTTTGATGGACATCGAAACATGCTTCGCTTTGAGCTTTGGGCAGCTCCAGAATCGGAATCTTTTTGACATAATCGAAAGTTCAAGGTACTTTTATAAAATTGCTAACATTGAAAAAAATAATAAGCCGGATCCAATTAGAAAATTAAGGAACAATGCAATCTGCAACATCAACTCAAATAGATAATTAGATCATTTTAGCCTAGCTTATACCGCCCATTATACATTAAACGTGCATGCATAAATGTATTATGCGCATGCGTAAAGGTACTACTGCGCATGCGCTTATGCATACGCATGTGCAGAAAGTTTGTAGCTTTGAGGTCCGGATTAAAGACTGTGTACTGTACTATCTTATATGATTTCAACTTAGTTACTGTCAATAAAGAAGGATTAATCAAATTTTAAACAAATTACATAACACTACATAAATATATATCCTCTTATAATCTGTACTCAAAAACTAAATAATTAAATCTTAATGACAATTTATCATATTAAACGATGATCCAAAGAACTAATAAAATATTCAAGAGATTATTAAAGGTTAAACATCTCCCGAAGGAAATAGTTTGGTAATATTTATTGCTTCATTTTAGTGCTTAATTCTCATGAATGAAATGTCTGACAACAAAGCTTTACTAAAGCTCCAAACCAATCACACATCGAAAAAGCAGACAACACTAAAATTTCCAGTAATGCTACATAATACTGCTTTTATGGACAGAAAAAAATGCTATTAATTCCAAAATACATCCCAGATATTACAGGCCCCAAGGGAAAAGTACTCAAAAATCAATAGCAGACAAAGTTGTACAAAATTATATTTTTACTAAAATAAAATACTGATTCTCAATGCGTGAAATATGTGTCTTGGATATGGAGAAGAAACCAAACAAGAAGGTAGTAGGACCAGATTGCGTTATGGAAATTGATGAAAGTTTGTTTACTAAGCGTAAAAATAATTGCAGTCGAATATTACCCGAACAGTGGGTGTTTGGTGGTATATGTAGAGAAACAAAAGATTCATTTGTTGTCACTGTTCCTAATAGAACTGGCTCTACCCTTCTTAATAAAATTATAGAAAACATTGCAGATGGTAGCACAATTTATTCTGACAGTTGGAAAGATTACCAAACAAATAGAATAGAAAAAGTAGGATTCCTACATGCTAAAGTTAATCAAAAATACAAATTTATTGATCCTGATACAAGAATTCATACACAAACAGTTGAGATAATGTGGGGCAGTGTTAAATGGAGGAACAAGAGACATAGGGGGAAAGTGAGACATCATTTAGAATCTTATTTAGCATAATTCATATGGCAACAGCATCAGGTCAAAGAAAATAGAGACTGTTTCGAATTTACGTTAAACTCTATATTGGCCCATTTTCCACCAAAATCCAATTGACTACTTTGATTTTAAATAAAGTGTTTTAATTTATGATTTGTCGTAAAAATTTTAGATGTAGAATTGCGGAATTTAAAAACCGCCAAATCTGCAACTGCGTTGGCGTTAATACGTAAGTACCATTTCATGCCTCATTTTGTCAAGTTCTCAATCAGTCCAGAAGTCTATTAAAATTTTATGTCAAATGACATGAGTTAAATTGTGAAGTAAAATAATAATCAGCATGCTCAGCTGTTGTCATTGCGGCTGCTTGCTTGAAGATAGATAGCCACCAATTAGAACAGACATTAACATCTCATTTGGTATGGATGAAAATGTTGGAAAGTTAGCTGCAATTTGCTGACCCAGTTAGTGTTGTAGCTTCATCTAGACTTGTAACCCAGTTAAAATGCAGTATATAATGTTGTGTGCATACAAATTCATAATAGACTGAATGCACACACAGCCGATGATAACTTGATAAAATAAACACTTCACAGTTCTGGAACTTTCCACAAAAATACTCATACAGCTCTTCATAGTATCATAGTGTACTATGACCAGTTACACTTCAAACAGCTAAGAACATTAAACACAATGCAATGCAAAGTGCATCTGAAGAACAAAGCTAACACGAAGATCTCTTAACGCTCCATGCTCAACTGGAACTAAATAACTGAGAAATTTATGAATGCTCTCTACACTCATACAGTTTTACCCCGGCTACCGAGAAATCTCCAGTAACTTCCATTTTTTTAAATTATTGGAAGGCATATACAGTTACAGTTTCATATAGGGCTCAATTACATTTATTCAATTACAATAACAGTTACAATTATGACCATAATGTCAGCAAACGGTCTTTACTTTTTGGTAATTTTTCGCCATATCTGATGACAATACGCAGCTTCTGGGGCAGAGTCATTTAGACAGGGCATTAGCATTTCCATATGATGATCCTATCCGATGACAGATAGTTATGTCATACACCTGGAGTCTGTATATCCACCTGGCTATTTGCCGTTCAGGATTCTTTAAATTCAAAAACCAGGCCAATGATGTACGATTTGTGCACAGTAGGAATTTTCTGCCGGAGAGACGATGATGGAAGTGTTCTACGGCTTTAACTTTGATGAGCAACTCTTTTCTGATGACAGAGACAAAATAGCACCCATATTCTCATTGTTTATATGTGTGTCAAGAATAAATAGTTTGTCAAGATGAGGATACACCAGCTGTGGTTTAATTCTAGTATACGGTACACTCAAGATTTGGTGACATGATTGTTCAGGGCTGGAAATCAAAACTTTACATAATAAATATCATAAATATTTTACTCTTGCTCCAACATACAAAGTGGAAACACAATTCACTTATATATCTTTAGAACACAATTACAATAAAAATAATCATGTGTTGCCACATCTCTGAAACACAATAGCGAAAAACTTCATTAATTTAAAAGTAGAAATAAATTATTTTTAGCTTTTTATGAATAGCAGGAGCATGCTCTTTTGGCGAGCAATGGATGGCGTAACACACTGGGCCCCCATGACCCTGTCATCAGCTCAACTAGAAATATAAACTGAATGCAACACATAAAAATTAAACAAACCGTAAATATAATTATAAAACATGAAATAAATAAATAAATCAGTCATTTATAGAAAGTCTGACCAATTTATGTATTGGTCTTTTCATTTCACCTGACACAGTTCTTAAGTTGACTGACCTTACTCTTTGGTCAGTTCCCTTGTAAGTACAAATTACTTTTGCCATCTTCCACTCAAGTGGCGGCAAGTTCTCATCCTTGATTAGCACCAAGTCATTAACACGTAAATCAGAACTGGGAAGTTTCCACTTGTTGTGCACATGCAACTGAGTCAAGTAGTCTTTTGACCACGATTTCCAAAACGATTTGGAAATTTGTGTGAGTAATTTCCACCGTTCCCGAATGGGAATTTTCTCATTTGTAACATCAGGCTCAGGAACACTTTTTAACTCGGAACCGATAATAAAGTAACCTGTTGTAATGACAGAAAAATCATTTGTGTTCTCAGAAGCAGCCACTAAAGGACAGGAGTTAAGTATGGCTTCAATCTCCACTAGACACGTTGAAAATTCTTCTTGTGAGAGGATCTGCAATCCTATAACACGTCTCATGTGAAACTTCATGGATTTAACGGCAGCCTCCCATAGGCCTCCAAAATGAGAGGCTGATGGAATATTCAGTCTCCATTTAACACCTTCGTTGGTCAAGTAAGTACCAAGCACCTCCATCGTACACGCTTTTAAGTAATTCTTTGCACCAATAAAGTTCGTTCCACAATCACAATATTTCAGCTGGCTTTTCTTGTTGTCCGATGAATCGTTTCAGAGCTGCAGCAAATGCCTGAGCACTAAGATCACTACCAAGTTCTAAATGGACAGCTTTCATAGCAAAGCATACAAACACATACACGTACATTTTCAGTAGTTTAACTCCTCTACCACGTCTAGGGCTGATCAAGAATGGTTCTGAAAAGTCAGTTCCGCATTTAAGAAATGGTCTTCCGGGATTCACTCTCGCAGAAGGTAAATCAGCCACCATTTGTTTCGAAAACTCAGAGCAAAATATGGCACAGATAATGTACTTTCTTATTTCTCTGCATATTGGAGTTTTTGCTCCTATAATCCAATACTTTTGTTTCATCGCAGAGTTAACTAACTGTACTCCTCCGTACATATAATTAAGGTGATAAAATATCACAAACAATTTTGTAACAGGATGATTCTTAGGCAATATTATTTGATGTTTCACAGAGTCTGTAAGCTGGCATTTCTTAAACGTCCTTCTACACGTAGTATGCCACTGTTGTCTAAAAATGGATTTAGAGAAATTAAGGAACTTTTCTTTAACACTCTCGCTTTCTCTAAAGTAGCTATTTCCTTTTCATACTCATT